CTCCAACAGTTCCATGTCCTTCTTGTGTTGGGGACACCAGAACTGTACACAGTACTCCAGGTGGGGGTCTCACAAGACCAGAGCAGAAGGGGAGAATCACCTTTGGCATGCTGGCCACGCTCTTTTTGATGAGGCACAGGATTTGATTGGCTTTCTGGGCTGCAAGCACAGACTGCTGGCTCATGGTGAGTTTTTCATCAACCAACACTCCCAAGTCCTTCTCCACAGGGCTGCTCTCAATCACTTCTCCACCCAGACTATAGCTGTGTTTGAGATTGCCATTGCCCAGGTGTAGGACCTTGCACTTCATTTTGTTAAACTTCATGAGGTTTGCATTGGCCCGCCTCTCAAGCCTATCAAGGTTTCTCTGGATGGCATCCCTTTTTTCAGTCCTCAGGGACATGACCTGACTGCCACAATTTTTCAAAAATGCTGGATAGTGGCTTAGCAACTTCATCTGCCAGCTCCCTCAGGACCTCCAGATGAATCTCTTTGGATCCCATGGACTTGTGCACATTCAGGTGCCTTAGATGGTCTCTTTTTCTAGTATGAATGGTAACTCAGAGATTCAGTATCAGATCTTTAAGCTTGCTGTTAAAATTTAATCTCCCTTAAACGAAAAAAAAAATTAAATACCTGCATAAACAGAAAGGCTCAGTATACCACAGCTACATCAGTTTCTTGTACATGATTGACAAAGCAATTTAAGGAAGATGCTTGCAACTTCCAAAATAGTAATTTCTGAATTCTTCTATGCCAGTTCTTATTTCTGAAACAGTTGGTTCTTCCACTCATTTTAGAAGCCTCATGAAGTCCATGCAGCTACCTTTCCTCACACTTTGATTTAAAATTAGCAGAAGAAATCCTCCTTCAGAATACAATTTTCTTCTCAAAATTAGATAGAATGGGGCAACCTATATTATCCTTATGCATTTCAGGGATGCAAGATTTGCAACAAACACATCCCTTCCTACAGAACCTCTTTCCTACAGGGCTGCATCCCCATCAGCGTGGGCAGCAGGTCGAGGGAGGGGATTCTCCTCCTCTGCTCTGGTGAGACCCCACCCGGAGAACTGCATCCAGCTCTGGGGCCCCCAATACAAGAAAAACGTGGACCTCGGAGCAGGTCCAGATGAGGCCATGAAGATGCTCAGAGGGCTGGATCACCCCTGCTATGGAGACAGGCTGAGACAGCTGCCGCGGTTCAGACTGGAGCAGGCTATGAGGCCTACAAGAGAGCTGGAGAGGGACTTTTTACAAGGGCATGGAGTGACAGGACAGGGAGGGAATGGAATTATGCTGTATGTTTACATCAGATATTAGGAAAAATTTCTTCACTGTGAGGGTGGAGAGGCACTGGAACAGGATGCCCAGAGGACAACTGTGAACTCCCCTCCCCATCCCTGATATTCCAAGGCCAGGTCAGATGGGGCTCTGAGCAACCTGGTCTAGCGGAAGGTGTCCCTTCTCATGGCAGGGGGGTGGAACTAGATGATCTTTAAGGTCCATTCCAACCCAAACCATTCTATGAAGTGCACTAAATTGCAAGTGTTTCCTAAAGGGTCATTATTGTGATTAAGAACTGACAATAACAAAAATACTGCTCTATTCTGAGTTATGAACAGATTACAGCTTGGAAAAGTTGAAACATGCCCTATCCATTGCAAGTAAGGCTCATTAATGCAACTGAAGTGATTTGGCATTTTTCCCCAGAGAGCTTGAAAATATACACTTTTGTTGTATGCGGTTATTTGTCACAAAGACAAAACCAGAATGAGAAAAAGTTATTTCTGTTTGCACGTGCTCCTCACACTCTCATTTCCTCTTTAAGCATGCATTTTCATATATGCGCCATGAAATTAGACAGCAGTAGATTGAAAAGACTACTTACACTCAGTGGTATAAGATAGCCATATACACAGCCTGGAAATCATAGAATGGTTTGGGTTGGAAGGGACCTTAAAGACCATCTAGTTCCAACTCTCCTGTCATGGGCAGGGACTCCTTCCACTAGACCAGGTTGCTCACAGCTGCATCCAGCCTGGCCTTGAACACTTCCAGGGATGGGACAGCCACAACATTAATGGACAATCTGTGCCAGTGCCTTACCACTCTCACAGTACAGAAGTTTTCTAATATCCAATCTAACCCTGCCCTCTGTCAGTTTGAAGTCATTCCCCTTGTCCTGTTACTCCATGCCCTTGTAAAAAGTCCCTCTCCAGCTCTCTTGTAGGCCTCATAGTATGAAGTGATACTAGTAGCAAAACAAAGTGTGGGAAGAGTATTTGAAGGTTTAAAGGATTTTTTAGTATTCTTGTGCCATACTTTAATAAGTACTTTTAATGATAAACTAAAAAATTCTTCTGACTTTAGGCAATGAAAATAGTTGCTTCGTAACAATAAATTGCAAAAGAGCATAGGAAGATTATTGAGAACTGGTTTGCATACTCTTAACAGTTTTGTGTTAGCCTTGCTATGTCAAAACATCAAGAAAAGAATAACGTGATGCATAGACCATTAAGAACACATCCTTTGAGCAGTAACAGATGTCTATCTGAAAGCAACAGGATGCACACAATCTTATGACTTCAGCAATAAGCAGAGTTTCTGTGTTACAACTTCATACCATAAACACCATTCAATAGAAGTAATCTCATTATGCATTGTACAATAAAAAGTCAGGACTTCTATTGAAAAAGATCTTAGGAGTCACGTGTCTGGCTAAATATGCTCTATGAACATTCAAATGCAGTCTAATAACTGAAATCTGTTGGGTCAGCCTACTACTGACATATCCTGTTGTCATGTTCTCAGAGAAAGGAAGGAGAAAAAAACCTACAAAAAAAACCCCACAGAAAAATACTTATCTGCTTCTGCTCACCTGGAAGTACATGCTCAAAAAACCAACTGAAATCCAAATTCAACCATCCCTGTATCCTCCAGGAACTTGGCAAGAAAGTTAATACTAAACCTGCCTGGTTCAAAAGCATGACACTGGCCAAGACCTTCTGCCTTAGAATCACTATTGAATCATTAGTATTCTTAACTACTTTAAAAGTGATTCTGCATATGCATAAAAAAAACCCATAATGTGGATACAAGTTTCTATCTTTTTAAGAAGGAATTCTCACAGTTAGAGCAGCCACCATCAACAGCATTCATCTTGGAAATATTCAAGCTTCAAAGGGGCAAAACCAGACTCATTTGAATGTTTAATAATAGTCAGTTCTGGGATATTACACTAGCACATAACAATATATATAGAGAACTGGGGAAATCAGTAACAGTACACAATAGTTCCAAAACTGGGGAGGAAGTCTCAACTTTGTAATAGTACAGAAATTCACTACTACTGTCCTTTGTAGAGAAGATGCTTAGCAACAGTTTTCCCAACAAAATAAGGGATACAATGAGAATACAACCTTGGATCTTCTGGTTGCTGACATCATTTCTATATGCAAAGACCAGAAGTTCCTT